GCCATAGAGCAGCCTTTTGTTCTGTCGTAAGCATATATTGCGTATATCTCTTCACGAGATCGTGTTTATCCTTTCCTGCTTGTGTTCAGAAGGAACAGAGAGGACTCCAGATCTTTGACTATGCAGACATTATCGTACATTTCTCCCATTTCTATATTTTCGTTAGATGCATTTGCCTGTGATAGTCGATAATTAAAATCGTGTTCAAAACATATCCGGAAATAGTACTGTTTGACATTTTTGAGGTTGATTGAGACTTTAGCCGTGGAACCACAACCATTATTTTTACCTCTGTTATTATTCACTGTCATATTTTACAGACCCCTTAAACGATTCCGTTGAGCGCTGACTTCCTGGTCGAAAGATTGAGAATTCGAATTCCCACCGCTTCACTCGTCTTTTTACTTTCTAAGCAGATAACTGCCACTGCATGGGCAAGCAACATTAAACTACTTGCTGTAATGAACACCGAGCCGATGGCGCACTGTTTTGATAAGGAATATGGCAAGACTGATTGAAGTCGTTGTAATGAACATCTGTACCGTCGTGAGCTCAGGTACAATGAAGGGTACTACCAAAATATCACCTGTTGTGAAACTGAAAGGAATAACCGACGGTCTAATGGCTATATAAATTTCCAGTATTCATTTATTAATGATATATGGATATATTGAAGCGATGAGGATGAGTTGGCCATTGTAATACTTCGTTTGATTTGTCATGGCAGAATATTTTCACTGAGAGTATCTTCTTGTAGCGAGAAAGAGAAGCTAAAAGAAAAGGAAGTGAACTGGCAAAAGATTGAACAAAAGGCCCTCGAAAGCCCTCAGGTACTGAACTAATTTATAAAGTACTAGTGCACTGGTTGTTTGTGACGATTGATTTTTAAGTACAAAGAAATCGCGCCGATTTTAAATCTTTCATCAGAGGGTGATTCGCGTTTGTCTCTCAGCTGCTCAGCGGATTCCGGCGACGATAGCAACTTGCCATACGAGCCAAGCATCACCCGTGATTTAATCGAAAAAGAGGCTGCTGCGGTATGTTTGAACTTGCGTACGATAATCCAGATAATAGGCTATCCTTTTCTTATCTAAAAACTATTTTGCTACAGTCCCACTGCGTAGCGCAAAGTATGCTGTCTTCGAGAGACGGATCTACTAAAATAGTTTCGATCTGTCTTATGGACCTTGATATAAGTGAAAATGAAAGAATTTTATCGCAAATGGCACCTGTCATTAAAATGTTAGCGAGATCCATATTCCAATGGTTACTACTTTTTATTTTTGTTTTGCCCGTCCGAACTACGTAGTAAACATTAAATGACTATACTTCTGCTTCTGCAGGTACCTTTTCCATATGCTTTTTCGTTTGTTTAGGCTCAGAACGAAATAGGCAAGCGGACGGTAGTGTGTCGAAAGTCCGATCTTCCTCACGATCCGGTGACCGCGAAAGCGCTCAATGAGCACTACCGCTACGACAAATACCTGACAACATTGCCCACCGAAATCAAGCCTTGATGGTTTCGTTTGTTTCTATTTACGCCTTTTTGTAGTTGTACTTCACGCAGCTCTGATTGATTGATGCATTGGTTGATTCTGACTGTGATACTCGGTAGCTCAAAGCGAGTCAACCGGCACAAGTAATAAATTTGTTGAGGTACGACGGGCAGCCTACACACCGACGCTTAGTTGAGGTTGCGTCGTCATGATTAACAGCGAGCAGTGTCACGAGTTGAACCGAACTGAGTGATCTAAACTTCCACCTCGGTTGCGTCGCGGTTTCACCATTTGGCTCATGCTGGCGGCAAAACAGCTGAAATCGGTGAGCTTAAACGAGTGACGCTTTTTGAATGCTATTGTGTACTTGCTCGGTTATACACTACGTTTTTGTTGTAGTTTATGAAATTTTATATGTAATTATTTTTCGAGTTTTATTTTCGTATAAATACTGCGCCATTGAGCTGGTGTACCATGTTTTAACGTGTTCTGGCGAAGGGTCATGCAGTGATGCAATTTTTGATCTGCGTGATTTATATCGTACTGACTAGTTAAGTATATCAATTGAACGAGGCTGTTAGGCAAGCCAAGATTTGTGTGGCGGCATGGTACGTTCTATTCATGTTTTTCGGCTTATTTCATTCTGCGAGGCTGTGAATCTAGCCGCTGATTTTGTGTTGCTTGCCTTTTATTCCTGTAGATATGCAAGTTATTTTTTGATGCTAGTTATGAGTTAGCTGGTAATTCTTGATTGCTAAGAATTTCACTCTGTTCCCTCAGCGTATTAGGTTTCTGGAGAAATGCAGTGGAAAATAATAGACTCCTTTTAGTGTGGAACAACTCTGACTTTTTTGGAGAAAGTACTGAATGACAAACGAAAAGCCTACGCTTTAAACTAAATATAGCATAATATGACTCTGAATGTGGGGATGCATTTACCAATGGCATCCAGACTCGCTACACAAAAAGCAGTACTGGTGTAATCCGTGGATTTGATCGGTAGATTTTGCAATAAGGCAGAAATCCCTCGTCAAATTATTTTAATTGTACCCAGTTCCTAAATTGGAACAGCTCTATCTACGTCATTCAGTAAAAGTGCTGTAGCGCAGTGAACTAGAAGAGAACAAAACTTCAATTCTCGAGCGCTACTGGCATTCACGAAGCTCACAGACTACCATATAAAGTACCTGTTGCAGCGGTGTGGGAGCGCGCTTTTCTCATTAGAAACGAGATCAATTATAGCGTGAAGCGTAGCCTCTAATGTTTGCATTTTTTTGTCGAAGAGTCAGTGATTCTAGCACAACAAATGTTACCTCCAGAAGTAACAAATTAATCAGAAAAATCCAATTTCAATGCAAATATACACCATCTGGAGCTTTAAAGCAGGAAATCCGAGCATTATGATAAGAAAAATTCAAATAATAACCACCGAAACGTTCGACAATGTTTTTGTATTACAAGGACAAAGGAAGATATATTTTTTGTGTGAAGGCCGCAAAGTTAATAAAATTTCTGAGCTGTATCAGTTGCAAAAAACCGATGGAACGGATCATCGGTAAGATGGCTTATTACAGAAGCTAATGTGAACCGAGCGATGGAAAGTTGGAGAAAGAAATCGACCGGCGAATTGGTGTAGCCAGTGGCGTTCTGCGTGAACTAGCCCGACCCGTTGTGACGAA